GTTACTAACTACAAAGAGAAATCTTTCCCAACCTGCTTCATTCTGCCTTTCAAAAACAAGGTATGTATTATATTCCAGGGGGCTGCCGTCAGGGAAGCCAGACCCTGATTCTCACCCTGGGATAAATCCATGGCACCCCGTTAATATACACACCAGAGAGGGTATAATCCAGCCTAGTTTGTGTTGTATACAAGAAGATACAGTAATTGATTTTAGCAGGACAACCAAGCCATGGACGGGCCACCCCTGCCATGCACAAGCCACCAGGATGGATCAAAGTCCTCCCCCTCCAACTTACCTGTAGCTCTGGGGTCAGGAGATGCGTGGAAGGACAGAAACGTAGAAGAGATGACTCCAGTGGCTTCCCAGCTGAAATGTCTCTGGTGGCTCCTCAGTGGAAATGTCTGGGCCGTGCCCCAGCTTAGCTTTCAAGACCTGCTGAGCGGGAACTCCCAGAAGTCACACCCACAACCAGAAGATACGATACCAGGTCCCTCCACCCTGCAGCAAGGCTGGATCTTCAGTCCCCTCCCTCCAGCCTATCACACAACTATCTCCCAAGCCCTGAGGTGGCAAGAAGCATGAATGAGTGACAGCTCACCTCCACCTTTGCCTCTTCTGAGAAGGAAGTATGAACAGCTCATTCATGTCCATTTTGCATGTCCTTCCCAGTCCTCAGCTGGGGTTGATAGACCCTAAGTAGAAATTTTCCCTGGGGAATTTTTCAACCCAATAACCAGAGGAGCCTTGGAGGAGAGAACATCAGACGGGTCATACCAATGGTCCAGCCAGCCCCACAAAACCCTGGCATCTTTGCATCAACCTCTTCCTGGCTCCTAGCCAAGTTGTCCATCATCCAGACCAGGAAGGAGGCCAGGGAGGAGCCCAGGATTCAGGGCTATCTTCCTCTTCCTTGTGTGGGCAGGTCTCTGAGCAGAGTATCACTGGGAAGGTTCCACAATCTCCCTAGATGCCTTCAAGGGGAAGGAGTCACTGTCTGGAGCTCTCTGCTCTGTCACCTGGGGATGACCTTATCAGCGACCTAACGATCGAAGGGAAGCTGGGTGACAGTGACCATGAGCTGATCACCTTCATCATCCGCCGTAAAGCTGGCAAGTCAGTCAGTAATGTAGAAGTCCTCAACTTCAGGAAAGCTGACTTTGACAAGCTAAGGAGGCTTGTCGGTGGGGTCCTAGAGGGCCACAACCCAAAAGAGAGGGGAATTCAGGAGGAGTGGTTGCTTCTCAAGGGAGCAATCCTGGATGTGCAAGCAAAGTCCATTCCATCTCGGAGGAAAGGGAGCAAAAGGGCACAGTAGCCCCCTTAGCTCCAGGGGACTGGTGGACCTCCTGCATCTTAAAAGGAAGACCAACAAAGGATGGAGGACTGGAACCACCTCCGAGGAGAAATACTCTGCTCTGGTCTGGACCTGCAGAGAGCAAACTAGGAAAGCCAAGGCTGTGACAGAACTCCAGCTAGCTACAAATATCAAGGACAATAAAAAGTCTTTTTGTAGACAGGTGTGGAGCCGGAGGAAAAGCAAGGGCAACATTGGACCCCTGCTAAACCAGATGGGACAAGTGACAACCAGTGCCCAAGAAAAAGCGAACTTGCTAAATGGGTACTTTGCATCAGTGTTTCTCCAGTCCCACGGGACGGCCCTGCCCACTGTGGGTCAGGGAGGCCCGGGTGAGGGAGATTCCTTGCCCTCCATTGAAGCTGACCTCATGAAGGAACACCTTGACAGACTGGATACCTTCAAGTCAGCCGGCGCTGATGGGTTACACCCCAGGGTACTCAAG